GTGTGTGTGTGTGGTGTGTGTGTGTGTGTGTGTGTGTGTGTGTGTGTGTGTGTGTGTGTGTGTGTGTGTGTGTGGTGTCATGATTCGGTTCTGTGTTGCTTCCTGTCAGGCTTTTATTTTGATGCTACGTCCTGTTTTGTTTCACCACAGTTTTGGTCTTTTTACTTTCTTCATCACCCGCATTAGTTTCACCTGCTCATTATAGTTTGCACCGCATCATAAGCAGCCTTCACCCACCAATCCCAGCCAGATTGTTCTAGACGCCACCTCTCACTCTCCAGCATTTTTCGGTTTTGGTACTTTGTGTTTTTGACCCGGCTTGTTCCTCTGACTATTCTGTTCTGCCTTGCCCTCTTGCTTCAGACTGTCACTGTGTATAATTATCGGACTTCCCTTTGGACTACGTATTTGGATTCCTCTGCTGTATGTGTTTGCTGGCTCTGATCTCGGACTGTTTATACCGACCTGTGATTTTTGTGTTTCACCGTGTCTTGTATGGTTTTGTTTAGCGTTAGTTCTCTTATTAAAGAGACGGTTTTGTTTTACATTTCCTTGTCTGGCCTTTTAATTGAGTTCACCCTCAACATTTTTGGCAGCATAACGCGCCGATTCCTGACATGTGGTGTGTGCGTGTGTGTTTGTCTTTATATACTTGTGCGAACCAACCCCTGATGGAACACCTTTCTTGTGTGGACATTTCATTGGTGACTTTCACCAATGCGGTTTTTGTACTATGATGGACTCTAAATCCTGACTGAAAATCCTCAAACAAATCATTCTTGTGCAAGTGGTCACATAACTGCTTTGCAACAGCTTTTTCAAGGATTTTGGAAATAAATGGGCGATTGGATATTGGTCTATAATTAGCTAGGACACCTGGGTCAAGAGTAGGCTTTTTGAGTAGAGGTTTAATTACTGCAAGTTTAAAAGCCTGTGGAACATAACCTGTTAATAGAGAGAGGTTAATCAGATCTAGTATGGATGTGTTGATTAGGGGAAAGACGTCTTTGAGCAGCCTGGTCGGGATGGGGTCCAGGAGACATGTTGATGATTTAGATGAAGCAATTGTTGAGGTCAACTCAGAGAGATCTATAGGGGAGAAGTATGAATGAGGTCTTACAGATGTTTCTAAAGCCATTGTAGTAGATGGCACATCTGCGAGAGGCTATGGCACATTTCCAGGCTATGAAAAACTCTTCTGACTTAGTGGAGCGCCACCTCCTTTCCATTTTTCGTGATGCCTGCTTTAGGGAGCGGAGCTGCGAGCTGTACCACGGGGCTAACCTCCTCTGTTTCACTACCTTCTTTTTCAGAGGGGCAATGGTATCAAGTGTATTACGCAGGAAGGCTGCAGT